TTACAAACATAATCATGTTTTGATATTTGGATCTTTGTTTGTTATTATGATAATAGTTTTTATTGATAATATTGTTTATTTCTATTGAAATTATCGTTGAAGTATTTATGATGGTGTTTATGATTGAATTGATGAGTGAAATGATTCATATCATTAGTTATGTAATTGTTATTGTGATAGTTATTATTATAATTGTTGTCCAATGACTGATGTATCTCATTCTGTGCAGATAAGATACATTTTCATTCACCCTTTTATCATTTTTATTCATTGACTCTTATGAATTTCTTCTTTTATTATTGTTTTTCTTATATATCGTTGTAGTATTTCTTGTAATGCATCTTTTTTCAAGAAATGAATATAAATAAATGAAATAAACATAAATAATGAATATAAAGAACATGATGATAATAAAAATATATATAATCATATTCAAGTGTTATCATAAAAACAAAAGAAAAGTATAATTGCTATTCATGGGATATAAAATATCAGAAAATATAATTAATAAGTATTAACTAATTACAACTAAAAATAATATAAATATTTATGAATGAGAATATCTGACAATAATACTAATAATGAAAAAGAAGTAATTAGAAATGAAAATAAAAGAAAATAGAATGAATAAAACATCAATCAAATAGATAGATATACAAATAATGTCATAAATAAGATAAATTAATTGAACTATCACATTTTCAATTCAATAATTAAATAAAATAGAATAATAAATAGAAAATACTTATTTGAAAAATGAAATTACAAAGAAATATCAAATTTATAATGATTATATGTAAATGATAAATAATTATGAAATAAATTAATAATAGTAAGAGACGTATATCTCAATACATTAATTAAAATATATTAAGTACTTAAAGAAGAAATGAAAATGAAATAATAAATATTATTATTGAAATAAAACAAATGAAAGGAATAATACAAAAAGAGAATAATTAAATAATAATGGCAAGAAACAATAAGTACAAACTATTCTTAAATAAAACATATTAAATATTATTTAATTCATAATCAAATAAATATGAATTGAATAATGAGTTATATAATAAACTGTATGAACAAAAAAATATCTAAATATAAAGATTAAATAAAATACTCTTTTTTATTTATTAAATACTTCATTATTTTATTTTTCGCTTTTAATTTACAATTAACTTTCATACAAATTATATTTTTTTTATTTTCAAATACCAATAAGTAGATTAAAACTTTCTTAGTATATTTTTAGTGTATATTTCATGAATAACATATTTTTAATAATAACTATGTCAACGCCAATTTCATTAATAAAATATACCGTATACTATTTCAGTAAAAATTTCAATTCAATAATTATTGATTTAGTTTCAAAGAAGGAAATATAAAATTAATTATGCTATATAAACCAATAGAATTAAAAAAAAAGAATAATAATTTGTATTTTTGAAATAAGAAAAAAAAGTTGAATTGAAAAAAAAAATGGAAAAAAAGATAAAGTAATGAATGATAATAAACAAGAAATACCACTTGATTTAGAACCAATAATTATTTCACCATCTCATTATTATTTATATGGAATTGATGGAAATGTGCAAGAAATATCTAATGAGAATAGTGTTAGAGAAATATGTTTCTATTCTTATTTTCCATGTTTTATTCAACCCATTTGTAGAATGGACAACTTCAAACGATATTTATATTTTTTTATTTCAGTAACATTTATAATAACAGCAATTGAAACAATATGGTTTTTTATTAGTGTATTGTTTGAACATGAAAAAGATTCATTTATATTAATTCCAACAACTAATTCAATTAAAATTGTTGGAGGAAAAAATTTATCATTAATTAAATGTGAGTATCAATACTTTAGATTAGTACTTCCTATTTTTTTACAAAACAACATTCTTCAATTAATTGTTACAATTATTATTCAATTAAAATTTGGAATTATTGTAGAAAGAATATTAGGAAGTTCATGGTATTTTATTATGTATATAATTTGTGGAACAATGTCATTATTTGGTAGTTATTTATTTGCTTATGAATTACCATTTATTGGTTGTTCTTCTTCTTTAATAGGAATAATAACAATTTGGATTTTACAAATGATCATTCAAAAAGAGAAATACCATCCAATTGTTTGGGTCCAACTCTTTGTCTCAGCTATTTTTAGTATATTCGTAATTATTGGCAGTTGTTTATTTACACCATTTGATAATGGAATTTCATTTATATTTTCTATTGGAACAGGAATATTATGTGGACTAACATATTTCGGTGATAATTTTAAGTCTTGCTTAACAAACTTATTCTTTAAATGGGCAAATAGACTTCTTCCTATTATATTGTACTTCTCATTACTTACACTTACAATTTTTGCTATTTGTTTTGTTTTACCAGTATCTTGTCATTCTACTAAAACAGTTTCTTAATTTATTGTTTTCATTGTCAAAATTATCTTTCCTGATAAATTCTAATCATTATTTCTTGAAAGAATCTCACAGTATTGATAATAGTTTCATTGTTAATTTTGGAACTATTGCTCTACAAAAAAAAAACAAAAAGTATTGGAGACTAATATGTCGAACTGAGAATTGATATTTTTGAGTTATGGGAGATAATAAAGAAGATGTTACTAAACTAAATGATAGAAAAGATACCCAAATGAAAGAACAACCATTAAATACAGAAGTGTCACAACCAAAATTAGACCCATTGGAAGTTAATGAGATAGAAAGAAAAGAAAAGAAAATAAATGAGATTGAATCTGATGAATATGAAAAACAGTTAAAAGAAGAAGAAGAGTTTAGAAAGAAAAGAAAATGTGACAATGTCCTAAGTGAAACAGTAAATAGTACTGAATATAATCAACCAGAATATATTGAAGTTACTGTAAGTTCTCCAGAATTAGTCGTAGACTCAACAGGAAAATATACAGTCTATACTGTGACAACAAGAGTTTGTTATTTATAAATCAGTTATTAAAGAAAAAAAAACAATATCTAAACCAATAGTCTTCTCATCAAGAATATGCACCAGGAAATTATTCAGTAAAAAGAAGGTATTCTCAATTTCAGTCATTAAGAAATCAATTAAAAACAATACAAAAACAATCACCACAAGCAAACGATTGGGGAAAAATGCCAAAATTACCAGGAGATACTTTTAAATCATATTATATACCTGGTTATAGATTTAAACCAGAATTTACTGAACAACGAGCAAAAGACTTAACAAGGTTTATTAATAATTTGCTTAAACATCCATCATATTTATTCAATGAAGTTACAATTAATTTTTTAACAAAACCTGACTTTGAAATAATAAAACCAAAAACTAAAATAGTATGGGGAAATGGTGATGAAAGTTCATCATCATCAGAATAATAATCATTAATTATACAATATTATTATAATACTTTTATTGAA